TCTTCCTTCCGGTGTTGCGGCTCACCTGCGCCTCGTGTCAGGACGCCTCCGCTGGAGTTACTGCCCTCCTTCCTCTTCTCGTGGATGGCGAGAAGTTAGGTGAGAAGGAGGAGAATTGTGGTTGTTCGTGCTGGTAGGCGGGAGTTCGTTCCTGTACTACCATTAGGTGTCCCGCATGTAAGGAAAGACGGGAGTATCTGGGTTCTGCTCTGTAATGGGTAGAGATGAGTTCTTATCCAGGGTCATATACGGCCCTGGCTCAGGGAGGGCAGGAAGAACCTTACGCTACAATCACATACACCATTTCAGACTTTTGCAGTTAATAATTATTTAATTCACTCCAAATCATTGAATACAACGGAATCTATTAGTAACACTTTTTTTTTGGATTTTAACTTATAATACTTTTACTGAAGGGACGTAGTTGTATTTTGTGTCTGACTTGGCCGAAAGTTGGATGCAGACTCCTTGAGGTGGAATGTACTCTCTCTGAATACTGAGGTCCACGAACCACAGACTCCAAGAGAAATCCACTCCTCCACTTTGCCATTGGTTAAGTGTTCAAACTAGGAGTTTCCCTAAATTTGTGAATTTCCAATCATGTTGCTTAGCTATGTGATTCTGGCAGTTGCTGACCTGACGCTAAGGTTGACAGCCCCTTGATGCATTACGATCAGGGGATGAGGCTCCGGCCCTCCCACTTCTAAGTTATAGCTGTTCCAAGCTGTCAGCTCTCAAATTCTCAAAGACTTTCCGACTTTGCTGAAACTGCCAGAATTCCAGGAAATGTACCACATAGCAAAGCTTGAACTATGTCACTTCTGCGTGTAAAAGTTGGCTATCTGAAAGATCTGTTTGTATTTTTGTGATATTAACTTAATATAAACTTAATTAATACAAAACAGTCCACCAAATTAGGATGAACGGTTATAGTACTGTTGGAGTGTGACGTCACTGCACATGCGCGGAAGCCTAGAAGTTTAAGTCTCTCCTAGTGAGCATTAAAATAATATACGAAATGACTAACAAAATTCGATACCATTGTTCCATTTTTACATGATTTATTTCAACCATTGTGAACAGAGGAGCACAGTGCAGCTGGGGAAGTGTCAAAGATAAAGCCAATATATCATATTACAGATTTCGACTGTTGGCACTGGTTAGACGAAGCTCCCTTCTGTAGCGAAAGGCTTTATGAATGAGTTGGCTATACACACAACACAAATCACTCTAGTTTACACGTCGGACTGCATACATCACGATAGGGATAGAGTCGCAGTGCGGTTTCTTGCTTTGGTAGAGTGGCAATTCTCCGACATGACACGTAGTTCAAAGGCACATGGGTCAATACTCCACCGACTTTCAAGCTCACATACTCTTCTCTCATCTCCCTAGGTGAATGCTGCATTGGTATATTCAATTGCTATTACCAGAGCACTTAAAATCCTTGCCTACTAAACATCCACAACCAATCAAAACTAGCTAACTAACTAACTAACTAACTAACTCCACCGAGTCGAGTCCCTCCTGAGAAGTCAGCAGTCTCTCAGCTACGCTACCCAAAGCTTCGCTACCGTGTTCACAAGATTCAGCTGCTGGTCTCTATCCTGAGTCAGATAAATTCAGTCCATAGTCTTCATTCTATTTTTCTAAGATCTATTTTAATATTATCCTGCCATCTAAGTCTAGGTCTTCCTAGTATTCTATTTCCTTCTCGTCTTCCCGCCAAACCCTCTTCTCTCTCATGTGTGCTTCATGTCCCGCCCATCTCATCCTTGACCTGGTTATTATGTACATACACGTACATGTGGCGAAGAGTAAAAGTTAATGTAATTTTTTCCAGCCTCCTGCTATTTCATCCCTTTCAGCCCAAATATTTTTCTCAGCATGTTGTTCTCAAACACCCTCAGTTTATGCTATTTTAATGTCAGAAACCAAGTTTAAAATCCATACAAAATCAATGGCAGAATTATAGTTTTGTATATTTTAACCTTTACGTTTATTAACAACAGATGAGAAGAGCTAGAAAGCATTACCCAAGTGTAATCTGCTCTTAATTTATTCTGGAATAATATCTTGATTAGGGGTCTGGATAGCGTAGTCGGTATAACGACTGGCTGCGGGCTGGACGATCGAGGGATGGGAGTTCGAGTCATGGTAGGGTCAAGAATTTTCTCTTCTCCACGTCATCCAGAGGATAGAGAATATTGTTTCCCAGTAAATCTACCAGTGCATTATAGGAATTTGATGCCTAGCAACGGGCGTTTTTCACAGAGTCATTACTTATCGACAGGTCTACATGTTACAATATAATTACTGCTGCACAGTCAGTGGTTAATTATTGCTCCTTGAACCTTCTTACGGAAAATGACTGCAACTAATGTCTATTGTATCATTGGAAATAAAAGTTTATAGTCGGGTTCTTCAGCCTAAGTAGCGTAAGTGATACATGTATAGGTTACTTAATTAAGCTACTCAGCTGCAAAGTTAAGGAATGCCGTATAAATTTCAATCTGAAGTTCCGCCATTCCTTTATATCAGTAACTGAAAGCAGAGCAGCTGTATCTCTCTAACTCACACTTCTTCACTCTGCCGAAACCGTCTGAAAGGTGTCACTGATACGAACATGAAATATTGCTTCCTCTTTATTTTGTAAGTCTATGTTTCCTGCACACATTATACGGCGAAGTTATTTAAACAATATTTTAATAGTCTATTATTACTTCCCTCCAAAGAAACATGGCACCTCATTGGCAAAGAACGGCAGTATAACGACGTTGAGAGAAAGAGTCCATCTTTCTTTGGATTTGAAATTTTCACACGAGTGACTATAAAGACACAGGCATTGTTGCCTTATAAAGAGTTAAGGATGAAGATAGTGCTGTTTTGTTGTCTCGGTTAGCACACAACTCATAGCTACTCCAGTAGGTATTGCTGACATCAGGTCAACTGCTGGAACCTAACATATTTCGTCTCCCTTCTCCGTAAGTAAAGTAAAGCTATCCTAGTACCAGGCCATGAAGGCCCATAGGGTTGTGAGACGTTGAGGCTCCCACATTATCTAGACAATCGGCTCAAAGATGGCGGTAAGGTTGTCAGCCTTACGCGCCGGCCGCGCTTTAGTCCCCACGAAAATTATTTAATTAATTGCTGGTACTAATTTCTGTTAGAGGCTGAGTAAACCCCGGGGCCTAGCGCGGCTGGAAGGATTAGGTAAACTGAAAAAAAAATCCAATGACCCCATCGGGACTTGAACCCGCGACCTTCAGGCTTGTAGCCCCTCAACCACTACGCTACCGCGTGCCCCCCTCCCTTCTCCGTAAGTATAAGAAAATGGAGGAAGAGTCATTTTTTGTGATTTAAATTTGATAATTCTATTATTGAACATTACTCATATTTCTTAGTTGAAATCAAGACAAAATATTATACAATCACTCGGAAATATACATTGAGGAGGAGGGATAACTCAATCGGTATATCGGCGGGCTAAAAACTGCACGGCCTGAGTTCGATTCCCAGCAGTGAAAGATTTTCTCTTCTCCATAACGCCCAAAACAGTTCGATCGGGACCCGCCCAGGCTTTTATCCAATGGGTATCATGGGCAAAGCAGCAGGAGCTTAAATCTGGCAGATCACTTCTATTTAGTGCCTCAACCAACTACGCTATTAGTATTATAAAAACATTAATTAATTCTTTGAGAAAATCTACATTTATTATTTATTACAGCGTATATAAGTGTATATGCAATTTACTTCCATAGAAACTGAAAGGACGAACAAACTATCAATGTGATCAATTTTATAAATATTTTGCAAGTAAGAACAAATATACTGCGAAAACTGAAAAATCGTTGATCTGCTGGTGTTGTAAACAGCGCGGCGAGGATTTTGTACAACGAACAGTGCATATATTTCTCCTCATCCGCTTATATTCGTTTGGTTGGATAAAGGGTTATGATGGATTGAGCACAGAATGATAGAGAAAGGAGAAGAGGAATGCGTAAGTTGCGAAATTCTTACGGTGAAACTTATTTACTAGTAGAAGTGTGGGTTACGCCATAGTTAAGACAGGAGGAAAACACTGAAGTTGACGTAACAGATCACGAGCATGAGGACTTATATTGAGTGAAATTTCTGGGGATCATTTTCAGTCTCGGACTTCGATTTTAGCTGTGTTCAGCCTTAGCAGGTTATTATTATAAATAGAGCGTGCTAATTAGTTCTTATTCTTGACAGCACCATTTGTGCACAGCGTGAAACACTTCCCCTTTCCTGTTCCGTAATGCAGGTATTAAGGTTCGGCCACACAGAGCGCTACGTACGCTATGTTCGCTATACGAACAGAAAAATATCTCCCTTTATTCATGATACGTATGTAATGGCCGTCTTGTAGTGCATTCGATTTCTTATGTCGCTTCTTACTACATGTTTCGGCAACATAGTGCCATCTTCAGGTTCGTTATTTACGCTAAGCTATTACATTGTTTGCCATCTTGTGTCTTTCATAAAATTATTTAGAAAATACATTATTCTTCAACTATAATAAAATTTGTATATATTAAAACTTGTTAAGATTATTCATCTATATGTCTAAATTCAAACTCGCGTATAGTATGGTTCGTCCACTGTGGGAGTCGTTTCTGTGTGTACCTGCAATTTGAAAATTGTACTTATTATTATTACTTTCGACTTCTATCTGTTATATGTTGTGTTATAATGTTTAGTACTTACTGTGTCTGTAATGTGTCTTTCCTTTTTGGCTGCGAGCGTTGTAATGTTGGATGTGTGTGCCAATATGACTGGCCACACAGAGAGCTACTCTACGTACGCTTTGTTCCCTATGTTAGCTGCGTCGCAGAGTGTACATAGCGTACGTAGCAAACATAGCGTAGCGCTCTGTGTGGCCGAACCTTTATACTGTATATACAGTAAGATATTAAAGATGGCGTTAATGAAGACGTTTGGTTCCTGTCATTCATGAAAATCTCTCCTGTTTCTAGGTGTTGATGGTTTACCGACACAGTCCAAACATTATTCAGAGCCAACGCCCACGGGAAGTAAAAAGGCTGTCAATTCACATGCCACGAAGGAGAAACACGAATCGCCTGATCGCCATGTCACCAAGAAACCCATTAAGAGTGAAGAAAATGTAAGAGAAGGCACAGCTAAACAAGAACATGTGCTGAAAGAAACTGAAGGCAACGCGACAGAGAAATCTGCTTCTGCAGACAGGAGTAACGGTTCGATATCCAAAGGACAGGAAAACTTAACCATTTTAAGACATATCAACGATCCCTTTTTGTCTTTAGATTTAAATTCCAAAAGTGAAGTTCTCAAGCGAAACTCATTAATTAGAGTCGTTGCTGCTGACCCGGAATCTATCGATAAGCCTGTAGAAATTTCAGTGCAAAGTTATACTCCACCTCCAAATGCATCCGCTGTTATAGAGGTTAGACCTAAAGCTTTAGATAATTATCAAATAAATATTAGAAACCATCCCGATGAAAGCTTATGGTCTGGATATCAATTTCAACCACTTGATACAAATGGAATGCAAAATTGGTATTTAGATCAGTATCAGCCAGGTCTATCGTACGTACCAACAGAAGAATTTCTGCACACTCAGAGTTTGTCAAACAATCCTGTGTTTCATTCTCAGTTCTCAAATGTGCACCCAGTGCAAAAAGCAGTACACGGCAACCCAGCAACTTCTCTGAGATCGCCAACAAACCGTGCTCAGGAAATGTCATCAATGTTTTTGCATAACCAGAGGAAAAGTTCACATCCTGATCATAACTATCAGTCAAATTACGCAGTTAACCATCCTGCACAAATTTCCGCATACAGGATCGGTACTCCGCAACAGATCCAATATTTCTTGCCTCAAACCAATGTTCTACCGTATTTCTTTCAAGATCCAAATGAAATTCATAACGCTGTCTCCACAAACATTGTCCCCGATTTGAATTACTACAGGCCAGGCATTCTGAAGTATGTTACTGGTTCGTACCGTCTAAAGACACATCCAAAATTAGAATGGGTACCTTTGTAACTAGTCTTAGGACATGCAGGTGGTAAATTATTTCTAGATAAGACACAGTTTTCTGTGTAGTGACTAGAGTACAACCTGTGCGTTGGTTGTAATGAACACAACTTATAAACACCGAACTTCGCATTGTGGTTGTTAAGTAACACTTTTGTTCAGTCGTATTACTTTGAAGCACCCTGCTCTGAATCTTGATCCAAATACTGACTCTCCTAACTGGGGTTAATCGTGGTTCCTTATCAAAATGATGGAATGTTTCAGACCCATGTACGCCGATGGAGGGAAAGGAAATTTTGACATCTGCACATACACCCCGAATTTTTGGAAAACATCAAAACTGAAGAAAAGAGAGAAATGTCCCAATAGTAATAATAGAAATTAAAAGTATACAAAATTATATTTTCCTGAATACTTTAGGGCGATCATTAAAAATAGCATTAAACGGCTTAAACATATGTTTGTAAATAATTTCTGTCCCCCTCCCCCTCTCCCGGATATCTGAATTTCCTCCTCTCTGGAAAACGCCGTGGTGGCGCCCATCTTTAGATCACGTCCTTCTTCTTAATTTATTATTTATAAAAATAACATAATATTTCAAGTTAATTAAACTACCTTTATACGAATCATAAACCTAGTAGGAAGTTAATAAACACGATAGACTGCAGCAGAATCTCCAATGGAATGTCGTCATTTGTGTTTCAACTTGCCAGAATTATCATTGCTATGTGGTTTCAAAAGAAAAATAACGCTTGTTTGCTAGTGATCNAGTGAGCTAAATGCAAGAAATTAATATTACATCTGGCACTTTTATTTAACGCATACATATTGCTGTGTTAACACAATGATGCCGAATTTTAACGTACATCCTCTAGAACAAAAGGAAGATGAAACCAAAATGCAACAGAAGTGTTTTCTCTACTGAATTGAGATATTCTGTAGTACATGCAAATTGATTATATACGTGTTAGTAATTGTTTAGCTTGTTTGTGTGAAAAAATATAAGAATATGTATTTTTAAACACAAAAAATATTTATTCTGTTAATAAATGAGCGATAATTACAGATATACTTTATTACTTAGTTGTTTAGTTTCTACTATACTCTAAGGTCATAAAATTAACTGTTACACAGTCTTAACACTAAAATCTTGTTTGTTTTCCCTGTCCCACAGTACACTACATGTTCGACCGTAAACGATCATCAGGGGAAACACAAAATTTCGAAAAATCTATGTAGACTGCAAATACCTATTTGTTAAAGCGTGCTCTATAGAAATGTATAAAAATAATTACTTACATATTTAGAATTTGTATCCGTTGCAAATGGTAGGGTAGAGCAACTGAATATGGAGAACCGGCAGCACTGTGCTCCACTTGTACAGCTGTTTGCATTTGACGAAAACTGGTTCAGGTGTTCTCTACGCCGCTCTACGCTTCTCAGAGTGCGTACTTCCACATCAACTCTTCGTTAATTTCTTCCTTGGTTTACCTCGAAAGGTGAACAGCACTGGTCTCCCTGATGCCAAGTCGCTGGTGCGAAACTCTCGTGGGGTTCGTAAGCCTACGTTGAGGGTTAGTCTCGGTGCACAACCTCACAACTCCTGCACCTTTACCACGGGCTTCAAGTGCATATCGCCGTGATCTCGGAATGCGTAAAGTACCTATTTTAAGCAGAGACTTAACACAGCAACTGCGGCAGTGGTAGAAGAGAACTTGATTTTCTGGAAACGAAGTCCTGATATCACATGCTAATTCTGGTGGTCGAGTCACGTCACTCTAAACCAGATGACTATGTATTTCGTCGATGAACGGCACAGGTGATAGTAATGTAAGATGACTAATCAATCACATCTTTCAGTCTTACTTCTCGTCCCATTAAAATGTGTCCCTGGCATAAGTTTGTAAGCTAAATTCTACTATGCCCTTGTTGCGGGGTACACTTTGTAATTGTTCTTTCTTTATTTGGGATCATACCGCTCACCTTCTAATTTAGTGGACTTATTTTTCGGACATTCTGCACTCATATGTTTAAGTGTGTTGATAGAAAGCATGTGAATTTTTAACTATTGTACTTTAATGACCTTTGATACATACGAAAACAAAGGTAAAAAGGTACAAAATTAAAGCTATCCCTGTCACACGCCGTGAAGGTCCGTAAGGATTTGAGACGTCGAGGCTCCCACATTTTCTAGACAATCGACTCACAAATGGTAGTGAGGTTTTCAGCCTTACGTGCCGGCCACCCTTTACCTCCTAGAAAGATCCTGGGCCCCAGGATCATAGTACGCTTGAAAGGATTATTTCAACTGAAAAATCCACCTCAGCGGGGCTCGAACCCGCGACCTTCTGGTTTGCAGCATAGTGCCTCAACTAACTACGCCACCGCGTGCAAACAAAAAATGAAATTTAAATTTCAATACCGTCTAATTGGCATGTTACAATAATACATGTATAGGAGGCACGTATAGAGTTTTTCGAATGTTTCTGGTAAAATTATATGAAAACTCTACATTAAGGATTAATGATTATGTATACTGATGTGATTATAATATTAAAGTGGACTGTTTACAAATGAAACAGGCCGAGGTCTACTGGTGAGATTTTATGAACTTTGTAACGAAATTTCAGGCTTCATATATAACAGGCAAGTTTCTAATCAGATGATCGACTGTCACCTTGTGAAGAAGCACTACGTATGTTCATTGAAGTATTTTCCGAAATAAATTACAGTTATGATCTGCAGTATTGGTCAGTGACAGGAGAACAGAAGGGCTCCACCATGAATGTCAGTGTACGTTGTTTGGTCTAGCCATTTTTTATGGTAACGGTTATTGAGTATTAACAGACACAGCCAACTAATTTCAACCTGACAATGCCTTCATTACTTTTGTATCTTTGTTCCCATAATGCCTTGCTGAGAGTAATGAACATATTGAAATCCGTACTGACACTGAGAAATCTGTGATGCCAGCTTGAATTATTAGTGTACCGGTGTCGTAGTTAGTTGAGGCACTATGCTACAAGCCGGAAGGTCGTGGGTTCAAGTCCCTATGACGTCATTGGATTTTTTCCAATTGACCTTATCCTTCCAGCCGCACTATGGCCCTGGGGTTGACTCAGCCTCTAACAGAAATGAGTACCAGGAATATTCTTGGAATATTCTTTAGGGTAAAGTGCGGCCGGCGCTGGCAACCTTACCGCCATCTATGAGCCGATTGTCTAGATAATGTGAGAACTTCAACATCTCACAAACCTATGGGCCTCCACGGCCTGTTACAGGGATAGCTTTACTTTTTTTTTGTCCGTGTCGATAAGGTTTATGACTCATTTTCTGAAATGTTAAGAGGGTTAAAAACTTTGTAAGAATTAATATCAATTTAACGACATTTTGGCTAGGATATAAAATTTGTACTGCTGTCAGACTCAATTATGGCAAAAAAACTTACGATGAAAACGTGATAATTAACTCACCTTTACTTTCCTTCAATGGCGCTACAGCCCTCATTTGGGCCTAGGCCTACCTCCATGAAACTCTCCGTTTCACTTCGGTTTACTAGATCTTAGACATACGGTAGTACTCCTTGGGCGGGTGATCAGCTCGTCGCAAGGCCTCTACCTGTACACAAACACAGAAAAACGCACACAAACATCCATGACCTGAGTGGGATTCGAACCCACGATCCAGGCTTCCGAGCGAGCGAAGACAGTGCATGCCTTAGACCGCTCGGCTACAGTGACCGGCTAATTAATTCCACTAGTACAGTGTAAATAAACACCGCCACCACCATAAAAACGACAACTCTTAAACTCAATGTGACTTAAATCAGTCAGCATCCTCAGCAAGTTGCTGTTATTTTCTTTTCATGACAGGGTTCAAGAGACTTTTGTTTCTGAAATAATGAATACCTAGTACGTTGTACACAATACAGTGAGGTTATTAAACCTTTCAAAGCCCACTGATTCTGTATGTACCATCTGCTTTAACATGAAAAATGTCTGCATTCTTCTCACGGAGTGTGTTTGTGTGTTTCGTGTGATTCTCACAATAAACATCGAATTTCTCCCTGAACAATGATAGCCGGTTGGCCTTTGTAGATGAAAATTAATCTGTTTTCTGCGAAGTAAAGTAAGTATAAAGCAAGTAAAGGTATCCCTTTAACAGGACGTGGAGACCCATAAGGTTGTGAGATGTTGAGGTTCCCACATTATGTAGACAATCGGCTCACAGATGGCGGCAAGGTTGTCAGCCCTACGCGCCCGCCGCCCTTTACCCCAAGAATATTCCTGGTACTCATTTCTGTTAGAGGCTGAGTCGACCCCAGGGCCATAGTACGGCCGGAAGGATTAGGTCAATTGAAAAAAAAAAAGAAATCCAATGACCTCATACGGACTTGAACACGCTACCTTCCGGCTTGTAGTATAGTGCTTCAACTAACTACACTACCGTGTGCCCCGTGTATCCTGCGAAGTAGGAATTTAATTCATGTATATTATTCAGAAGGACTTCATCTTTAAAGGACTTATTAAGAATTCTACAGCCGGGTTTCCTGTGTGTCGCCAAGAATAAAATAATCGTAAACTGATATGTAAATTTAACATTCGAGAATACTCTTACTTTAATTTAGGTATTAAACCTCAAGTAAGTTTTATGTAAAGGTGCTAATGCAAGTAAATTAAAATGAGTACGTTCTGCGAAGCGCATGCCTTTTTTCAGCAGAGTCTCTGTAGTAACTCTGTTCTTTAAGCGCTGATGTAGACATCTGCAGTTATAACGCCACTGTGAAGTCATTATTAGCAACTTCCCTTCACCCTCCCGACCCTCGTTATAATTAGAATAATTGCTACACAGAAATGTTTGTTTCTGGTGTTTCTCCTCTTCGTTGTGTTTCCTGCGTTGTTCGTTTTATGTCTGTGTACAATAAGAGCAACATTAATAACGTGTTTGATTGTGGACCATTTCCACATGAGGTCCTGTGGCCGGAGATATATCCTCTAGCTGCGGTTNACCCTCGAACCCACCCCCTTGTCTGAAAATTTTCTTCTGCGCATTCAAGGTTACTCTTGGCCTTGTTCGAAGTTACGTGACACTTGCTTTAATACATGTATTTAGGCAGCGTCGACCACTTCTATGGTGTGAATATTCTTTTCCTTTTTTGGTAAAAATGGAAAATTGTATTCTGCTGAAGTACATATATTTCACAAATATTATTTACTATTTCGCATTTCATATTAATTTCTATGTGAATTTACAGCAGGCGGAGGAGTATTATTGAGAAATCAATCACTCTACAAGCACTACATTTTACGGTTACAGAACTGTATTTTATTGTGTTTGGCTAAACAGTTTCCGTATTGAAAATGTATTTGAAAAGTTTGTAGTCATCAATGAAATTTTACATCTTTTATACCAATTCTCAGTACTGATAATTATTTCAGAGAATTTTTAGACAGTTCAATTCGAACTTAATATAAAGCACAGGTAAAGCGAGATATAGGCAAAGGTAAGGTAAAGCTGTTCCTGTAACAGGCCGTGGAGGCCCATAGGGCTGTGAGACGTTCAGGGTCCCACATAATCTAGAAAATCGGCTCAAAGATGGCGGCAACCTTGTCAGCCTTACGCCCAGGCCGCCCTTTACCCTCCAGGAAGATTCCTGGTACTCGTTTCTGTTAGAGGTTGGGTCGACTCCAGGGTCATAGTGCGGCTGGAAGGATTAGGTCAATTGAAAAAATACACCTCATTAGGACTTGAATCCGTGACCTGCCGGCTTGTAACATAGTTCCTCAACCAACTACGCTACCGTGTGCCCCCGAGAAATGTGAATTAAAATTAAGTTTATTTTCAATAATTTTTATTTACCCTCAGTGTCAAATTTAGCCCGAAATATTCTGTACATTCGAAGAAGTTTACGGAGGCGTTTAAGGGCAAATAAGTTTAAGCATTTTATGTTTATTTTATGTGCTTTGTGCAAAGCATGCATAAAAGCGTTTAAAGTATTTTAGTCATGAAATCTCGAAACATTTTGCCAGCAGTAAGGCTGAACATTGTAATGTACACTGGGAGTGAAATTAACCACTACTTGTATAACCGATTTTTAATAAATTCTTTCAATTTTCTTCCGTTCGTTTGTTCAGTACAGCTCCTAACACCTGTCAGCAACCATAAACACTGTAATTAATAACACTGCCTCAGGCATTTGGCGCAAATTAATGGCAACTTGCTCAGAGCTGGAACGACTAGCAGCTGAGGTGCAGTACGCATCGTCTCATGTTTCAGTTTCTGTAATTTGTCTGATTCGGTTTATATTTTGTTGCTGCATATATAACGCGTGCCGGTCACGGTAGCCGAGCGGTCTAAGGCATGCACTGTCTTCGCTCGCTCGGAAGCCGGGATCGTGGGTTCGAATCCCACTCAGGGCATGGATGTTTGTGTGCGTTTATCTGTGTTTGTGTACAAGTAGAGGCCTTGCGACGAGCTGATCACGCGCTCAAGGAGTCCTACCGTATGTGTAAGATCTAGAAAAACTGAAGTGAACGGAGTACATGGAGATAGGCTGTAGTGGGGCCTTGGCACTACATTTCCTTGGCACTACATGGGGCTGTAGTGCCAAGGAAAAAAATTATAACGCGTATTAGAGAAATTAAATGCGGTGACATCTTGGTATGAATATCAGTTGTAGTAGTTTGCTGTGATTAAGAATATTGGTAGCGTGGACATCCGAGAACATCTCGTAATTAGTGAAAGCCCGATCTGTGAGGTCGATACCAAGCATATTAAGTCGTAAAGGGGCCGAGGGGCGGCGTAAGGTTTACTGCATACTTTGACCCAGGATGGAGTTGATCTCTCGCCGACCGCTGGGTGTGCCTGGTACCCATTTGACTGGAGGCTGAGTGGACATGAAAGTCCCTCTTGTTGGGGTATCCTAGAGAAGCAAAGTCCACAGAATCAAATATGGCCCGTTAATTTTCTCACATTTCTGACTAAGCTCTTCGTTAAATAGAATTGTATTGTTGTATATCGTGAATCCTTGTTGGTATTTAAAACTCTTTCGCATGTGGAACATCAGAGCTTCGATTCTCGGCAAAAAATCAGTCATCCTGAGAGTCTTTGTGGTCTTCATCATTCCTCCAGGCAAAGTACACAAAATTACTGCCTATTCCAGTCAAATCGTCCCCATTTGACTGTGATCCTAGTTGCTTGGAAAGAACTGTTAACTTAGAGGCAAGTAACACACTTCTTGACGGGATAAGAAAAGGAAACAATAATATAGAATATTTTGAATTGATTTATGACCTGTGTTGCTGCACATTGGATTAACGAGAGTATTCTCGCTTGCTTTGCCGGACTATGTATTAAACCGTGTCGCTCTCAGTAACACAGATTTATTGTAGCAATTCTGTCCCCCCCCCCTCTACTCAGACCTTGTCCTCCTACTCCCTCCACTCTCTACTAAACAGGTGATTTCGATACTAATGCCATTGGTTGGGGGCTCAGCAGTAAAGAGTAGCACAAATTACTGACACGAGTGACGTGCTTATCCTGGGAAGCACCCCCTCCTTATGTTGTGTAGCAGTGCATGAAGACCTGTTCTTTCCAGTAAGGCCGCGGTCTAACGGGTATGTTGATATATTAATAAATTAATATCCGTATTTTGTTTAATGTATGTTTACTATACTTTTATGGTTTATTTCACGGTATTGTCAGGAAGAGAGCCTTTACGAATATAACGTCGAATGGAATCAGGGCAGTGAATAATGAATTGAAAAGAACTCAGAATTAACTGCTGTGACATAATTGTTATATTAACCCAGAATTTTCCTAGATGGATTGAGAGAAAAAAAACTTTAATTCTCATTCAAGGTAATGGGTGTTCGACGGGGATTCGAAACGACGACCTCCAGCATAAATCTCTAGAGCTTTATGGCTACCCCCAATCTGCTCGGCATCTTAACTGAATTTTTAAGGTTATTTGCTTTTGTTACGTTGGTAGATGGAAACCAGTTCAATATATTCCATTTAACAGTCATTCTATTGCATTATGGTGTTTTTTCGCAGAGTTGTACTAACATTTTCTATGAAACACAAAACAATTTATTTTTACGTACTGCTGCTTAGCTTGCACCCCAGAGACAGAAACGGGCTCCGAAATCTTGAACATCTGCTGCGAATTGCAGGTTTGTCGCCAGGAAAGATTTTGCCAAATATTTTCCTAATTTTCGTTATTTCTATTTTGATATATTACCTTAAAATAGGCTATGAAAATTTCCTCAGACACTCTTCTTACTGACTATTTATAGTTATTGTACAGTTACACGTTCAACGCTATGAACAATCTTCTAAGCTCACAGATCCTACGATTTAATGTTCACGAGTCGCATTTGACTTGTAGGAGGGATGTACAGGAGGAAAAGTTGTCGTTTCCTTCTGTACTAGCAGCCAGAACTCCTTACGTCCAAGTTCTTCCCAGTAACTACTCATGATTGCATCTCATTCTTTCTAGAGGACTTAAAATATTTGCTGTTGTGACACCATCTCACTAAGCGTTACCGGGCTTACAGTAAGTGTCAAAGGGAAACTGATATGTTTGGTGTGGACTAGATATTATAAAATGAACAGTTTGTTATAGGACTAGATGTTGAATTACCGTTTTATAAGCTACAACGTAAAATTAGGTTCTTATTTCTGCAGTCGATTATTCACTAAAATGAAAAATTTTCATATCATAATTTTTCAAGTCAACGAAAAAAAATTGTTCCAGATATGTTTTTTAGTTAATACATTCATTCTTCTAAAACTCATAAACCAATTTAAGCAAGAGACGATACAGTGAGGTGTAGGAACAATATGGAGGTTTCAGGTTCAAATCTTGGGACGATTATCTGCTATCCTGGATAAAGGTTTTCTTTCGACCCCTTAATCTCTTCAGGCAAATATCCAGATAGTGTCTTAATATATCACGGTCTTAGGCTTCCCACCGTGGCTGCCCTGGTTCGATCCCGGCTCTTGGCAAGTGGAATTTGTGGTGGACAAAGTGGCGCTGGGGCTGGTTTTCTCCGAGTACTTTGGTTTCCCCTGCCAATCTTCATTCCACCAAATTCTCCATCATAATCACCCGGGGCAGGCTACAATAGGCCAATCAGTGGCCGCCGTGCCAAGTGGACCCAGTTGGACTCCACCCCCCACTAAGCGAATATCACGGCCTTACGCATTATTGACATTCGTTTCACATCACTTTCGATCTTATGTAACCACTACAGTTGATAGAGCTTCGATATGAGTCCAGAATACCTTTAAACTTTTGATTTATCAACTTTTGTCACATTGAGTACCTTAGGTCCAACCCAGATCACTCCAGGTTATGATAGAAGTTTCAGAGAACATCCACAAGGAAAGACAGACGTTATGAATGTTACGCTGAGCGACCAGTGTTGCGTTTTCGTGTTGTCATTACTGGGCCTGTTTGTTTATCAAAAATATGTAGGCCTATTGGAAGATGTTTGCCATACTAACGAAGATGCTTCTGGAACAGAAGTTCCATTTCACGCTTCGATAGTCAATTCATTGCCAGGACAAACTGCCCATATCGTGATGCCAGACTGAGCTTGTTATTTCTGTCCATCTACTCCTGCTATGTACAAGAATTCGGTAAAATGCAGAAACATTCTGGAAACCACTAAACCTCCTACAGAGTCTTCCATTACATCTTCAAGTCCATTTTTTCCTGCAAACAAGGGAACAAATGTCAAGGTAAAATTAAAGGATTAATGGCTGCCGGAATTTGATATTTCCGTTGATATACGCTGTTTATAATGGAGTTGTCAGTTCTGTGTTTAAAAATCCTATGGTTTTAAAATGATTTAGAAGAGCCCCAGAGTAGAAAATAGTAAAAGGTGAATTTTTCAAATACGCCTTCAAAGAAAGGCTAATAAATTTCTTCAGTCAAAAGTATGACACCAGTGTGCCTATGATCACGGATTGTGTACGAAAGTTTACTTAGGCCAGATGTAACAAGTTACGGCCCGTAAATTCAATCCGTCCTTCGGTTTTCGTATATTGCTAGTAAACTGCTTCTTGTGTATTTTTACATTCTAGTGTATAATATAAAAAGTATCGTAATCTGAAAGTAAATCTGTAGCCGGAATAGCTCATCTACCTTTATTGCGAACTTTTATATATAATCAATTATCTGTATATCTTTGAATATTAATATTTTATAACTTCTAAACTGTATATTTTCTTTTGAATGAGTAGAACTGGAAATTATATCTGTGTGCTCTTTTTGGCCAAATATTTTTTTGTATTTGACTAGAAGGGCTGGAAAACACAACGACTGCTTTGGTTTATCTCCGGCGAGATACTGACCTAGAGACTCTGAAATATGGAGCAGCACGAACGTCTATTCCGTGATTATTTCTGCATTACATTTTTTAAATATATTATCTCAAATATGTAAGGCCGCACCGTAGCTCAAGCGGTTAGTCGCTGGCTTCCGACAGCGGCGACCGGGTTCGATCCCGGGTCTGGTAAAGTGGGATTTGTGGTGAACAAAGTAGCGCTGAGGCAGGT